TTTTTTTTTTTTTTTTTTGTTTGTTTGTTTTGGCCCCTCCCTTTGTTTGGAACTGTTGGAGATTATTTACGTAAGTAAAGAAAACCTTATGACTGCGGGCCAAGCGGAGCACTGAACAGAAAAAAAAAAAAAAAAAAGGCATCTAGACTGATGCTAGAATTTATAATTTCCAGAAAAACTGATGCTTCCACTGATGTTTAAAAAAAAAAAAAAAAAAACCAAAAACCAAAAAAAACCAACAGAGAAGAACTGATGTTTCCAAAATCAAAGGAACTTATTCTTAAAATCACACCCACACCTGCCTTCTGTTTCTCAGGTTTTATTTTATATTTATATATTTAACCTTCTCCGGTAACCGTGTCTTAGGGCCTAAAACCGCTGCTTGCTCGTCCTGTTGGTCGCTCAGTAAATCAAAACAAATCATTGTGCCCGAAAGCTGGGCCTCGCTGTGTAACCATGCGGTTGCCACAGGAGAAAAGAAGATGTAGGGGGTCGATTCAGTTCCAGATTGGGATAACTCCACCTGGGCGCCTCAGAATACCTCTCTGGGTTTCAGACTCAGCAGACAGATTTGGTGGAGCCTGCAGAGCTCTCCGTGCCTTCACCTTTCCATAAATGCTTGGATTTTATCAAGCGTGCAGTTCTGCCACCTCTTCGAAGGAGTTTCTAGCACCGCTGACACGGGGACCCTGTATTCAGTCACCGTTGCACGTTCCAGTTTCCATTGGCACTAAAATAACTTTTTTTTTTTTTTTTTTTTTTTTTTTTTTTTTTTTTTATGCACCCCGATCCCGGGTGAATCCCGTATGAATTCCACGGGGAATTCATAGCCAGTGACCTCCGTCTACTCCTCTCCCATATACCTAGTTTCATCTTTAAATATTTAATGGGAAAATGCATCTCTCGTTATATGGATTTCCTCTCTTATAGATAGGATTGGTTATGTTTTCTAGCTACAGAGCAACAAAAGGTGGTGATTCGATTAATTATACACAACAAATAATTCTGAAGCTGAAGAATTCTTCCCCACCACTAAATGAGATTTGCTCGGAGCTCAGGAATAATGACACTCCTGCAATCTTACCCGGCATCTTTCATCTTAAAAACAAAACAGAACTAATGCGCTTTAATATATGAGTGCCGCTCTCCTCGATAACACCTCGGAGGGTCTGTGAAATTGCAGCCCAAAGTGTAACTACAGCTTGTACGTCTGTGTATAATTTAGCTTTGTATAAAGGCCAGCCAAGCCGGCCGAGGTACACCTCTCAGGCTGCACACCACAGAACCATCACCCGAGCGTGTTTTCTAGGTTGGAGCCACCTTGCTTGACCAGGAACAGGGCTGAAGGACTCTGAGGGCTGCCGGGTCACCTGAAGTCGCCAAGGTGTGAGAAGAGCTGATGTAGCAGCATCACTAAGGCTGCTGGGTTGCTCCAGTAAATCAGCCCTGCCCTGCCCCATCCCATAAAACCCAGGCTCTGAGGAAGAGGCTTGTATCTTCTTTGTGTCTGAGTTGCTGCAAAGAGGTGAAGGACCTCAGTAAGAACCGAGAGGTTTGTAGTGGTGGGAAGGACGTAGTGATGTGTGCTCACCGGAGCAGCAGTTGTGTGTCCAAAGAGAGCCTGGAAGAGCACTTCTGTCCCGCGGTGACAAAGGGGGAGGAAGGGGTGTGGGGTTAGCTGGGCCTTCTTAAAATGCAAGTGTGGTAGAGATGCGCGCAGACCCGTTTCTTAGTAAGGTGGGTGCTCATGAGTCCGAGTTTTGGATTACTTAGAGTGGAATACCTTGGAAGTTCCACCCTTGCAAATATAATCCATTTTTAATACCTTAGTGCTTATGGTATGTGCTGATACTGCCGGAGTGAATACATATTCCTGTATCACCTCATGGCTCAAAGAGGTGTGGTGCTAATATCCAATTTAATAATCTATTAATTATAAAGCTATTCATTAAATCTTCTTTCTAGTCCATTACTTAATTAAACCTGCTAATCTCAGCAAGAAGAACCGGCAGCTGACTTTCAGTTCCTTCAAGGCTCTTAGACTGAAAGAGCGGCGATTTGGCGACACATCACCCTGTTAAATGAATTGATAGTTGAGTTTAGAGGCAGAGGAAGGCTCTTCTCACCAAAGGAAAAGGGAGAGCAGAGTTCTGCTATCCAGAATAAATACCTGAATTATGCTGCCGGGACGTCTTCTGCTGCAAATATCTGTATAGCACTGCTTCTTCCAACTCAAGATCAACAAGGCTAAAACTTCAGCTTGAGTAGAAAACTGCCACAAAGTCCACCGCGCTCCTACCTCACTCCCTGCAAATTTTAAGCAGTAAAAGCAGCCCTGCGTGAGCAACTTCTCTGGGAATCCCATGGAGGATTCGTTCTGCCCCTTCTCCTCACTCTGTCCTATGCCTTGGTCTCCCTGACCCCATCATAAATTTGGCTAGCGTGCCAAGTTGGAATTATAATGACAGGTTATAAGTAATAAGACTAATAATAATTAGGTGTGTCTTAAGTCTTAGATCCACCCTTATGGATAGACTGTCCTTAGACAGGTTAGGTGACTTTTGGGCATCAGTTATCCCATAATAAGATTGTAATTTTCTGTGCTATATGGGTGGAAAGAGAAAGAAGGTTTGCAAGAAGCAGTGAGGTGGTGTGGGATGTTATAACGACAATGAAATGTGGCATCCCTTTATAATGAGTGAAACAGCAGGGGAAGGTAGAGGAACAGCCTGGCTCCAACATGCAAGGTAATGTGAGTGGAAAGAATTGAAACAAGCAGGGTAAGAGAAACAGGTGAAATATGTTTGTGGGAGGTTGCTAAACAGCAGGCAAAGGAGGAAAGACCAAGAGCAAAGGCCGAACTGGCAGAAAGATTGTCAGAAATTACTAGAGGGTTGCTAGGCTGTTAATTCAAAAGTCTCGAGTTATGGCTTAGGCGGGGGAGTGGAGAATATTGAGGGTTCTTCGACAATGCGATGTGTCGATACGCGCTGAGCGAACCCACACGTGCTGCGCAGTGGGGATATTGCACCCAGATTTCTCCAAAAGGGATCAAGCTCTGAGTTCCCAGGCTGAAAGGCCGATAGGTCTTCCCTAAAAAAAACCTCAGCAAGTCTCTTGGAGGACAGACTACCATGTGCAAGCTGCTTCATTCTCAAGAAACAAGTTAGCAGTTTCCAGGCATGTAATTTATTTAATTATTTTTTTTAAATAAAATGAATAATTTGCAAGTCATCAGCAGCAGGTAAAAATCACTCCCTGGATCCCCTTGTGCAACTAGATTATTGTTAAATTCCTTGAAATGCTGGACTGAATGAGGTGTAGATAATGAGTCAAGACTGGGTCTTTTGGACTGGAGGCTCCTGAGAGCTGCCACCCCGCTGATAACCTCCTTACCAAACTTTTCACAACACTTTTTGCGTGAGCCAGGCGATCAACAAAACCTGTATCTCTACCCTTCTTCTCATCTTATCTAGGGCGTGACACCGAGACACCATTCACAAGCTCATCTTCCAAGATACAGTAATTACGTCTTCATGTTGGTTCAATAAAGTAGGGCACATGCTAATGGCTGCAAGATAAAACAAGCAGATTTATAGGAGTTCCCATCCTGTGAATGGGGAAGATTTAAATATGTGTACACCAAATATTTGAGGGGCTCGTATTAGAAAGTGCAGATTTACAGGGGGCACGGAGCATGTATGGGCTGCTCATCTCCCAGGCAGATGTCCAGGTGAGCCGGCGGAGCAGACAGCAGATCCCAGGGAAGGTGAAACCCCGAGGGGCTGGAGCAGACAGATGGGCAAAAACTCTCTTCTCAGAGGCTGGCAGCTTCCCAGGGAGACAGGGCAGGGTAAGCAGGCAAACTGGCAGCCATCCAGGATGCTTAACATATTTTTCATACGATGTTTTAACGTTGTCATAAAATTTTCCTGCAACCCTTTTTTTTTTTTTTTTTTTTTTTTCTCTCTTTGAACAACGCTCTGGGAAAACAACCGCATCCGGATGTCGCGTCGTGGCCTGCTTGCAGAATGAGGTTCATGGGCATCTGCCACCACAGGTGAGGACAAATTGTTAAACAGCAGCTCTCAAGACCCGCCAGCACAACAACGGGGAGTTAGAGTTTAGCCAGCTTTCACGTTTTAGGGACAAGTTTAGCTGTGAAATTTATTTTGCTTCCGGTAAACTGAGCTTTTAGCTTGTGAAGACTGGCAGAGCTGCCCAGTCATAACTGCAGCAATCTTCTTCTCGGGACCGAGAGGACACTGCTCGCACTTAAAATGTGTGGAATTCTTTAGAGGAATAAAAGCTTAGAATGTGAGGGTGAAGGAGGTGAGGAGAGGGGAGCGGGGAGTAGCTGCGAGGGTGGGGGGGTTGTTTCTTGAACTGAAATAAATTAAGGAAGATTGCTCAGGGTCTCATTCCTTTCCATCTACTTAGTGTTTTTCAGCTGACACATCGAGCCATGAACTGTCAGAACCACAAGCTGTACTTAACAGGGTGAGGAAGGAGTGAAAGCTGTGAGAGGAAAGTGAAAATGAAACAGTCTTGTGCAAAGGTGCGTGAACAGAGCTGAGGAGTGCAAGAGGGAGTTGATTATTTTCTCACTTCGCGGGTGAGCAAGACAGACAGATTTGCTTTTGATGTTTGCAGTCTAAGTTACACCAGTGGGCACCTGAAAATCAAGAACAGGAGAGAAAGAAAATGAGAAAACCACCGTGATAATGCAGAATAATTTTAATGGGAAGGGAAAGGACAGAACAAGACTGCTAGAATAAATAACAGCACAACGGGCACAGTTCCAGGTGCAGATTGTCCTCATATCCAGAAACAAACGACTTCTCTGTGCGTATGTGTAGATTTGTCAAAAGGAAAAGCGAATTTCCTGGTGACTAATTCTCCTAAATGCTAAGACCAGTCTATATTAGGTTGTGTCTCCACTGTCCACATTTGTGGTGTTCTTGAAACAGCTGCTGCCCTCACTTTTCTGGAAAGCAATGGAAAAAAGAGCAAATTGTTCCCGAAAATCAGACACTGTATGTTTCAAAGGTCAGGTTAAAGCAAATTAGGATAGGGCGCATTTTATTATTCTGACCACCTGCCTGAGAATGTACCTGAGGAAAAAAATAAAAATCGATGAACTCTAAGGTATAATTTAAAGAAGACGTAGGTAAGTCTGCTTTAGAGGGGCAGTAGGAGTGTACGAGGCCTTTGGGCTTGGTCACTGGCGTTGGTATCACTGTGTTACGCTTCTGGTATCTCTTTGTCCTCCTTTGTTGTATCTGTATCTTCAGTTTCTGGCTTCTCCTCTGGAGCAGCTTCCCTCTCGCTCTCAGATTGTCGGTAGCTTCCGTAGTTGGGTCTACTGCAAGGATGCATCCAATGGGAAGAAAACACGTAGGAGCACCGTGATGCAGACTGAGGGACGTATTTTGGGATGAATCTCTCTGCGGGTGGCTCTGAGCACAGGACATCTGCTCTTAAAGATGTCAGCGGGGCTGGGGCACCTCCCTCCAGAACTGCAGAGCTTCCCACTACCGTCTCCTGTGGGCACGTGCTGAGGATCGGTGCTGGGAATGTCACGACGACGGGAGGGGGGTAGATAATGACTCTGGAGGCGCCACAGGATACAACACAGGGGTCATTGCAGCTGGTAGCAAGAGGCTGAGGGCACTGCACATCGCATGAGTAGAAACATCGTCCTGCGTCCCGCTCCCCGCCGAAGGACATCTGGGAGGAACGGTGGCAAACCTGCAGCACATAAGGCAGAGCACAGGCATGTTTCTCAAAGCATTTGCGACTCACGCCCTGCCCTTGCACCCCCGGGGGAACTCCTGCTCTTCTGTCCTTGCAGGGAGGATGAGGATGTGCCAGAGCTGGGGATACGCTGTGGTGGGGAAGGTGCAAGCGGATAAAAGCGCGGCTCGGCTATTTTAGTTAGAGGGGCCGTGCCCACAACGCGGAGGTTGTAGCTGAGACAAAGTGAGCCGGCAATTCCTGGAACTGAAGCTCACAGGTTTGTCCCCTTGCTCACTTACCCCATCCTCATCACCCCGTCTCCGCTCTCCCAAAAAGGACCCTTAGGCCTCCGGGTTTAACCAACCTCCATCCCATTTTGCCACTTGCCATCCCTTGCCCCCAAGCTTTTTTTTCTTCTTGCCCCCATGTGCGTCTTTTCACTCCCAATTACAGATCCTGTCTGGGCAGCCACCGAGGACAACGGGAGAGGTACCACAGCTGGAGCCGGTGACTTCAACAGAGCCACAGCTGGTCCCTCAGGGCCACCAGTCATACAGGAATGGATATTTTTTATCCCTGTACTGAGGAATGTCCTTGCCTGGGATTATTTGTCTCGGTGATAGAGCATGCCCAGCCCTCGTTAGAGTAATTATACATAACAGGATTCCTGTGCCTCTGCTAAGATTGCACTGGGCACTCTATCAGTGTCCTGGGAGGTTTGTGCAGGCTCACAAATCTGTGTCAGGCAGATCTGGGAGGAAAAAAAATAAAAATTATCCCAGCCCTGCAAGCTGGAAACTGCTGTACAGGAGGTGGAAGGACCCGATTTCGGTGCCATTCTGCGTGCTAGCCCCTGAGCTCCTAGGAAAATCTTTTCTCCGGGTACTTCCAGACCATTTGTAGCAGAGCCAAGAACTTCATAGAGATTTTTTGGTGCCTACCTTTTTTTTTTTTTTTTTTTTTTTT